AGTTCAGAGGAACTCACTCCATGGCTGCCCCTGCCTATGATCCTGAAATCCATCTCATACCGTAAGAACTAGGAAAAGCCCCTGCGGCATCAGACCAAAGGTCCAACCAGCCCAGCACTCCGTACACACAGTAGCAGACCAGCACCCAGCAGGATGGGTGCAAGACCTCCTCTGCGCAGCCCCCCAGTGGCTGGGGAAGGCAGGCAGGCCACCCCTGGTGGAAGAAGTAGCCACGGCCAGCAAGGCTAGTAGCCACAGGCAGCCTCCTCCCCCGTGATTCTGTCCAGTCCCCTTGCATTGGCAGCCGTCCCCACTTCCCCTGGCAGGGAATCCCGTAGATCAACTATATGCTGCGTTAAAACCTTCTTTTTCTGTGTCCTAACCCCGCACTCATCATCTTCATGGGATGATCCCGGGTTCAAGTGTGACGGGAGAAGAAAAAATATCTCCCTTTCCACTTTCTCCACACCAGGAATGTGTGGCGACCCCGTCACCTCTCCCCTTCCTCCCCTTCTCTCCAAGCTGCCACTCCGGCCCCCCGATCATTTCCATTCCCTCCTCTGTGCTCCAGAAATGAGATCCAGGCTCTGCATTCAGTACTCACTGGGCGTTCAGGGCGGATTCCCTCCACTTCTGATGATCCTTCCCAACCTTGGACTCCATCGGTGGTCAATGCCAGATGGACACCAGTGCCAGAGACGGTGGCCAGCACAAGCAGGGAGCTCACCAGGAGCAGGAACAGTAGCTGTGGAGTCTCCATGGTTTTCTGGATCCCGGTGCTTCAGCTTCGGAGTTGGTCTTCTAAGCTCGCTTCCGGCTGCTGCTGTGGTTCTTATGGGGATCTCCTTTTGCTTTGACCTGAACAGGAAAGGGTTTTGCATGGAACGTGTCGAAATCAACATTACCAGAATTTCCCAACTAGTGTAACAGTCACCGTGGATCATCACTCCTTAGTCCACCTCCCTCAGACCTGTTTACACACCCCATTTTCAACACAATTTCGATCCCAATCACCTTTTCATTTGTACCTACCCAAAATTAATATCTGGCTTTGCCAGCCAAAGAACAGCCCTCATTCTCATTACTCCTGCCGCCACCGCCTCCCCCGCCATCTTCTGGTTAAGCCTGGATGGAGGCACCTTTCGTATTTTTAAAAATGGGGTACCCCCCAGGACTTGATTCACGATCACAAATGTTCCTTCTGTCACAGCACCAAACAAGTAGCACGCAAGCTGAAACACACTGAAGCAAAAAAGCATCCCATCGAGTCCAATGGATCTCGTTCTTCGGTAAATGGATATAGGATGGCGAGCTCAGTCCCGCTTGCTTCCCCTACAGTCTATCCTAAGACTAAACGCAGGTTTTGTGACTTCCTGTCACCCCAGTTCTTCCTTGACATATATACCTTGCTCTATTCATTGTCCAGCCGGATGGTTGGGGTCAAGGTGTGCAGGGAGGAGGCATTGTGGTTGGTCCCAAAGGATTAACCAACTCAAATGTGGGTTTTACAAAATCTTTACCTTAACTATTGCATTTCTGTTCCCCACCACTTCCACCTAGGAGTGCCAGCTCTGGGAAGAAGCACCTTTGTTTCTGGTGGCGGTGATGTGCCTTCAGATTGTTACTGGCCTGTGAACGAACGAACGAACACCCTCCAAAGCCTTGGAAACCAACACGATCTGGAACGTGGGAAATGTCTCCCTGCTACCCACTGCAGAGGGCATCAAACAAGCTTCCGGAATAATGAATATTTGAGAGAGGGCTGCTTGCTCAGGAAAGCCAGTTTAAGTGGCACAAAGACGAGTCTCTCAAATTGCACACGAAGAAAAGCAAACAGAAACAGCACAGCTGCCAACCAGCTGTTGGGCTTCTAATATTCGCCTTTATGTTGGCCCATGACTCTTGACACTGCTGAGTATTTATTTACATTATTTCTGCCACAGGGGTGAGATGATCTTTCACGCTGGTGCTGGCTGTCAGAGGGTCACCATTTATATCAAATAGCACATTCATGATTATGCAGAATATTTATTGCTTCAGAAGTTTATGTCTATGTTTAACGAGGATGCATACGCTTTTGATCTACGCATGGCTTGCGTACCACCTTGTATCCAGGGTCTCTTGGCATCATAGCATAATTGCAATGCTGAGGTCATTAAGACTACCAGTTCGCACCTTAACTCACCTGGGTGGGAAGAGGATTTGAAGGTCAGCTCTGGATCCCCCGTTTCTGAGGTGAGGCAGGACTGTTGTCTTCTGCAGCGGCCCAGCCTTTGAAACTCCCTTTCTCAACAGGTGTGCCTGGAGCTGCCCTCGGCTCCCTTTTTACCTGCCCAGCCCTTTCAGGTGTGTGCCACAAAGCAAATGGCGTGCTCATTGTCCCCCAGTGAAGGATGGTAACAGCAACATCAAGCTGTGGCAATGCTTCTGCACAGCCAGGCCTGGGAAACGGGTTGATTATGGGCAAGATGAATGCAATAGAGCGATTTTAGGAGAAAACCTGCTTCCATCTGCCAAGGACCTGGGACGGGAGCAGCCCGTTTTACAACAACAATCCTGAACACACAGCCAAAGTGACATTGCAAGGGTTGAAAACAAGGACCTGGCTTAGAACCGCCTAGTCAAAACCCAGGCCTCACTGATTGAGATTCTGTGCAAGACTCGCATGACGCAGTTCACCAGCCGTCCCACCCGGCAGAACCAGAGCGGTTTTGCCAAGAGGAGCAGGCAAAACACTGCAGAATCCAAACACACAATGCTTGGATTATTCCTCTTATCCAAGAATGATCCCAGCTGTAACTGCGGCCAAAGCTGCTCCTACCAAGGACTGACTCCACAGAGAACAAGAGCTTGTTCTTCATGTACGTAACCTTTGTGCCACAATAAACTTCTTTCACTCCTTCACGGTGTTATCTTGGGTACCTCAAGCTGTACCAATGCTAATGAAATTCATTTCAGTGGTGTAGAACAATTATGCAGGCCTGTGGAAGGGAGGGCTGTGAATCTTTCTGCAAGGCCCGGTATCTGGAATGAGGAACCCTTGGCTCACTAGATAATGTGCGACTCCGGCTTTCGTCAGTCCTAGCCAGCCCGACCAAGCCGCACATCGATCTCCAGAAAGCCCCGCTTCCCAGGCTGAGTCATGCAGGGCACTGACCTCACCAGATCGGCTTCGTTTCATCCACATTGCTCTATCAGAGCCCTGATGCATGCGCAGCTCCGATGAGATGCGCTTCCGTCCCCGACTTCTTTCCCCACCGAGCGATTGCAACAAACATGAACTTCAGCATGAAATTTGACTTACAACCTACTTTTTCCTTACAGCAAACTGCAAAGTTTACAGCTGCAAAGCAGCTTACATCTTTCTCTCCCGCCTGCTCGCCAACCTGTCCCCACAACGACCCTGTGAGGTAGGCTTGGCTGAGAGTCTCGGGCCAGCCCAGTCACCCAGTTGGCTCCATGGCCAAGCAAGGAGTAGAATCCAGGTCACCTGAGTCCCAGTCCCACGCTGTTAACCACTACACCGCACTGTCTCCCACTGTGAAGGAAGTCCCTTACAAATAAGAAAGGCAGCAAAGTGGCTTTGGGCAAGTGGGTGAAGCAGAATCTTAGCTTCTTTACTCCAGAGGTTTGTTGTGACTAGCATTCAGCTAGCATTCAACTAGCATTGCTGACTAGCATTCGACAGTCCCTGCTCAAAAATGCTGCCAGAGAGTTCTCCGAGATTAAGGACTTCAGTTAGGAATATACGAGGACACAAGGCATAGTGCATGGAATCCAGTTAACTTTAGACATGTCCAGCCAACCTTTTTTTTAAAAAAAAGTACATATCTAGCTCTCAGGACAAAATAACTGAAAATAAGTGGGTCAAATTTCAAGATGCACAGACCAAAGCTGGGTTCACCAAGGGGTCAGCTGGGAATTTGGGAAAACCAGCTTCCTGCGCACTCGCCTGCCAAGATGCGTCTATCTGCCCATTTCCAAACCAAGATCCACCCATCACTCGCAATCCCGCCTTTGGAATGCAGGAATCCCCTGCCGAGCCGCTTCGGACACTCCAAGAGGAGCTGAGGAGCGGTGCTTTTGTACCGTGTCGGGCAAGTCTTTAAAAAGACTCAGAGGGGCTTCTCGGGCAGGGGCCGGGCAGCCCTCACAGCCAGCTTTCCAGAACAAGTGTATGAAAGTGTGCCGTATTCATGAGATCAAATCTGGGCACCCAAGTTTCGTCAAGTTGTTGGATTCCTTCCAGTTCTAGTACGAGCTTCAAACCGGGTGGGCAGACAGGATGGAGGGTGTCTTTCAAGTGCAACCCCGTGCTCCAGGGAGTGAAAATAATGCCTGTAAGATCAAAGATTCCTAGACAGAATCACAAGAGTCCACTGCTGCTCATGTGACTTGATTTTCTTGCCACACAAGTTGGTCAATTGATTCCTCTTGGCAAGGAAGTGAGCTGCGTATTCCGGTGAGTCAAAGTTATGCAAACAGGACACGTCTGGCACACCCTTCATTTTATTTTACACCTCACCCTATTCCTGGAAGCAACCCAGCTCACACAAGGAAGGCAGCTCACAAGCCTCCTCTCCGTTTGTCCCTCACAACAGCCCCGTAGGGCAGGCTAGGCCCAAAGGCACCCAAGAAGCTTCATGGCTGAGCAAGGACTAGAACCCACAACCCTTGAGATGCAGTCCAAAACTCTGAGGCCATGTCACACCAGCTCCCACTGAAATCCACAGAAGTGCATTCAATGTGGCTTGTTTTCGTTTCTCCAAGTCAGTCTGTAGGCAGAGGAATATAATGTCCTGGGTCGAGAAAGAAAAAGCCGAGTAGGCCGGGTCAGCTTTGAGTGGAGAACACAGGAAAGCTTCAGGTTTCCCACAGAGCTCTTCTTCAGCCACTAAAACTTCCATGCAGCACAAGACGCTGCAAAAGATGCTTGGCCTCCCAGCTGAAGCCTTTCTAAGCAAGGGGTGTGATTTACAAAGCACGCAAGACACTGTGGATAATTCTGGAACATTTAATTATAAAAAATAACTCTGTACGACAACCCAGATATTTAAAGAAAAAGGAATGGCACACATTTTTCAAGGCAGGGGGAAGAGGGGAAACGAGCTCTGCAAATATACGGAGACAGAAAGTCTGCAAGTTAACATCTCCAGTGCGGGAGAGGTGGCTTTCAGCAAGCCACCCCGGGCTCCTCAGCTTTTCCGGGACACATCCTCTCTCTGCTCAGAACTGGCTCTGGAGGACCGAGACTGTAAAATAAAGCATCGCTGCCCCTCCATTAACAAGTTGGTTCACAAGCCAGTTGTAACAGTGACAACCTGCTACAGGGACAGAAAGCTGGGGAGCAGCAGGATGCAACCCTCTGCCCACACGACCATTTACGCAACTGCGGCTCCTGGCCAGGCCAATGCATCTCAGCACCTCGCCAGCCCGGAAGCCAAGAGAGCCGACTCCGCTCCAGCGACCTCTGCAGGCCTGGATTCCGGGATCAGCCCACGTTCTTTCCAAGCAGAGTCGTTTTGGCATGTGCTGGCCTGAAATCCGGTGCCAGGATCTCACCAAGCCCAGCACAACCCCATGGCTCCCTCCCCACAACCCCCAGCAGGAGCACAAAGTGGCTGACAGAAAAGCACATTCAGGGCGGTTAGAACCATCAAAGACGCTTGGCCAACGCTTCTTGCTGAAATTGGGTAATGCCTGTGCTGCATTTTGGAGCAGCCCTTGCAACACCACACTCGATCTTTGACAACTTGGCGGTTTATTTTTCTTACAAAGCATTCTTTGAGCACAGGAGCAGAGAAGACAGACGAGCAGGGGATTCGCCGCACCCCTCGGCGTGTTCCCTCTTCCTCGCCCTCCAGCCTTGCCAATGTGGGAACGCCTTTCCCAGGAGCCTGCCAGCTACTACTACAAGCAGCCTGAAGATGACACAGAACTATCTTTCCTCCGCCTTTGTATTGTGCAGCTTTGTAACAAAAATGCCTGGGCCCATTTCCCACCACAGTCCTGCACTCCTAGAGCATTAAGAACCTTCCTGAGAGACGCCGGGCGCAAATCCTGCCTTGCAGGGCTGAGCCAAGACGATCCATTTTCCGGAGGAGCCGGAGGCAGCCTCAGTCGGAATCGCTCCCGTCCTGTTTGGCCGAGTCGACTGCGGCCGCCAGGTTTTCCTCCTGGCCCCTTAATCTTTCTCCTAGGAGGGAAACGGACACGTCACTGGGCGGCCACCGGAACACCCCTTGGCAGCAACGCGCAGGGCCCGGCCGCATCCCCAAGCCCAGGGCCCACCTGGCTGCCAGCAAGCTCCCTCCCCCACCGGAAGCAACCCTGCAACCCACTCCCCACCGCGCGGGAGCAGCCGTGGAGCTCCCCAAAGGGTGCCCACACAGCTGCCACCGACTGCCGGCCACCTGCTCCCCTCACCCTCGCTTGGAAGACAGTGCCGGGCACCCATCCCTCAGGGTGGCAGGATACAGCCTGGGGAAAAAGGACTTCCATTTCCCTGATGTTGATACACAGCTCCCATCAGCTGCTGGCGATGGCAGGCGCTGCAGGGCACTGTATCTGGAGGTGCCGCACTGGGGAAGCCTGCTCTAAACTCTACACCGGGGGTAGGCAAGAGGCAGGTCAGGACCCCCCGCTAAGCGCTGTCCTATCGACGGCAGCTCAGCAACCGATTCTGCCTCCCGGCAGCCTTAGCAGCAGCTGTTACCAAAAAGCCCCTTTCTCGTAAACCGGATTGTCGCAAAAAACACTGCGGGAAGGGGGGGGGGCAGGAGTGGCACGGTCCGCTGCAGGTCAGGTGACGACTCCTTAGGCTACGTATGTGCAGGGAACTCTGAGCATACATCTGCCGGCCACGCGGCCTCTTGCACACCAGGCGCCGGTTGATGGACACCCGGGTTTCTATTTATTTCTATTTATATCCTGCCTTTTTCCTACAAAGGGCTCAAGGCAGCTTACATCATCCTCCTCCTCCATCTTATCCCCACAACAACCCTGTGAGGTAGATTGGGCGGAGAGTCTGTGACTGGCCCAAAGTCACCCAGTTGGCTCCATGGCTGAGTGGGGACTCGAACCCGGATCCTCTGAGTCCCAGTCCCAGGCTCTTAACCACTGTGCCACACTGCCTCTCACAATTTGGTTCAAGAGCGAAAGGAGGACGATCCTCCGGCCAAATGCCTGCAGAGTCCTGCTCTGCACCGCAGCAGACAACCCTGGTCCCGGAAGCAGAAAGGCCTCTCTCGCACCCTGGTTCCTCTCAGGGGGAAGGGGAGCCCGTTTGGGCTACGTGGCTCATCGGGCCGAAGGGCTGCGACGGCACGAGGAGGGCAGGACTAGCACCTGCCACAGGGCGGTGTGCAGGAGACGCGCCACCCTTCACGGGGGCCCTGTGTCCATCCCCGCCCCCCCCCCGCCCCCGGCCTGGCTTCCAGCCCGCCAGCTCTCCACCTGCAGACAGACACTCACGGATGAGCTCGGCAATCGCCCTCTGTGTTCGCTTCTCAAGCTTCTCCAGTTTCTTGGCTACATCGCGCTTCAAGTCCCTGAGGAGCAAACGGAGGAAGCTGCAGCAAAACGAGCCCAGGCAAAGCCTGCACAGGTGCAGCGGGTGCAGGAGGAGACAGAACCCTTGAGCCCCGGGACGACACGCTCCTCCGGACAGGCGGCAGGACCGGCCCCCTGGGGCGCCAGGGGACACAAGGGGGAGGCCGCGACCCGTTTCCGCAGGGCTGGGGTGGCCGTGGGGAGCCCTTCCGACGGGCACAAAAGGAACTGGCACAGGCAGAAATGAAAAGGGAACTGGTTGAATTGAATTGCTGGTCCCTGGAGGAAAGCTTTGATTTACAGCTCACTCAATTAGCAGAAGTACTCAGCGCTAGGAACAGCTTCACAACACGGGAAGAACAGCACAACCCCCACCCACACATCACTATTATGCATCATTACTTTTTTAAAGTGTCACTGCAGCTGCCTGGGAGGCCTGCCAAAGGCCCACGTCTTCAGGACAAAGCGCTCCAAGATCCGCCTTAGTTACGGGTTAGTTTTTAGGGACTAAAATTAAGGAGGCCAACATGCATTCGAAATCCAAAGGGGTGTCATGCGATCTCTCCGAAGAGCACCCCTCAAACTTCCATACTCACCAGTCGGGTTTTCTGGGTGCAAGATTTGCCAAATCCTAGGAAAAAGAGAAGAAAAAAATGCAGGTAAACTTAGCTAAGGGCTACTGAGTCGCTTCATGACAAAATACGTTCACCTGCAGGGATGTACAGAGACTGAAAAAACTATTCCCACTATCCTGCAGGTGCCTTTCATTCCATCATCCACTAATCACCCCAAAGGCTCAAATCCTCCCCCCCAGGTATATTTTTACACTTTCACTTATGGGGGAAATAAATACGTGCCTTTGGTCTATTTTACATATTTTTCCATGGCTATCTTTGTGAACCACGACACAAAATAACCGTCTGTGGAACCACACAACTTGGGACCGGCCTGTTCATGGGAGAATGCAGGCTGGATTCACGGGAATCTGCATGCGGGACTGCAGTGTGGATTCCACCAACACCCCCAGCGGCAGGCAGGCAGGCAGACGCGGATGGAAAGAGCAGACGTACCACTTCTTCAATGATGGGCTCGGGCTTGGCCGCCTCCAGCTGGTCTTTCACCTTGTCCTCCACTAGAGGGCAGAAGGAGACAGGAGGAAGTTAGGGCAAGGTGAGCGCTGGAGAGCAAGGTGAGCAGGAGGACCGGACGGGAAGAGACAGAGAAGCCCTGCTGAAGGTCAAAGAGGTTGGTTGGTTGGTTGGTTGCTTGGTTGCTTGGTTGGTTGGTTTGGCGGACTTATATGCCTCGGGTTAAGATGCGGCTTGGGGAATTTATTTATTTATTAAAACATTTTTATGCTGCCCCATTCGCCGAAGCCTCGGGGCGGCTTACAACAATAAATTAAAAATAATTATAAGATTAAATTACAAAAAATATAAACATTAAAAATACAAAAATACAATATAAAATAAGCCGCCCTGGCCAGATAAAATCCAGTAATATTAACAGTTAAAATGCCGCTTAAACATTTCCAGGGGCCTCCTCTGCTTGCAGCTGAGAACAGGGCGACTGAGGGAGCAAACCCAAGGCCTCCTCTCGAGAACGAGGCCAACGGGGCTTTGCTAGTGACGCGCTCAAATGCAGGCATTTCCCTCCAGCAGGGGAGGGATGATGGGAGTTGCAGTGCAACACATCTGAAATACGACCAGACTGGGGTGGGAGGAGGCACTGGGCCAAAACTCTCCCAGAAGACACTTGTTCTAGAGTGGTGCTGTAATTCCCATGATGCCTTGGGAAAGTCAGGGGGAAAACAAGCTGGCACCTGTGTTCATAGCATTTGTATGCAAAAAGGGAAGAGGAAACCTCAGACGTCCTGTCAAGAGGACCTCTGCAAACGGCCTTGATCTTCAGCCCATTTATTAGTTTCGAGCCTGCAAGCCACCTTGCTCCTGCAGCTCAGAACAGATCAAGAGCAACTAGGGGGTGAAGCCCGTGCCCACTATCCTATTAAACACGCAATTCAGGTCACTGGCATTCAGTGGCTCTTTCCCACAAGCAGCGAATGGAGCTTCCACGTTCAGCAGCAGCGCGCCTTGCAATCCACAGGTCCCAGGTGCCCGGCAATCGGGGTGACTGCCAGTGGGCCTCCTGGGGGCGCCTGGCTAAATCCAGCCAGCCCATTCGCCATTCACCCCCTAGGTTTCCCTGGAGGGTCACACCCCCTTCCCCCAACCACCAATTCTTTGGTTGCTCCCTAACTTTTGCATGGCCTTCCCCATTTTGCAAGGCAGAAGTGCTTCTCCTCCGACGTACAGCTTTAGGTTAAAATGCCCCCGCGTTTCGGCCCCATCCCTTTCGCCTTCAGCCCTCCGGTTAATGACGGGCTGTCTGACTGCATTTCAGCAGCTGGAGTTCTCTGAGCAGCTCTGCCTTCGGCACTGCCCACCACAAGCGTCTCTGCATTTAATCTTGGCTCTGGGCTGGAGGAGGTTCCACATCCCGGCGCTAAAAGAACTTCCGCATGGAGCTCCTGGTCCCATGAGCACGAGCACCTACCCGAGGCAGGCTGGGCCGGAGGCACCACACGTCCCTTGAGCTCTTCGTCCTCCGGAGCGTAGTTCCGCAACCTGATCTCCCTAGAAGGGCAAGCAAAACTCATTATGTTTCAGCTCATTATGCACAGCAGCAGGGGGAAATGCAAGTCCCTAGGCAGCGGCTCCTAGGCAGCGGCAGGCGATTTGCATGGGGTCAGGGAGGGAGGGCAGGCCGGGCTTGGTGCTCAGCAGAGAAGCAAGGCTGTGTGCAGAGCTGGCCCGCAGCTGGGCTGCATGTGCTTGCCCGGGCTCCGAGGGCCAGCTACCCGCTGGTGTGCGGGGCGCTCCAGCGCGCTCCGAGGGCACCTGCTGACACATGGAGCCCCCCGCCCCACCCCCCCCGATGTCTGTTCTACCCAAGTTCCGGAAAAGGAATGGCTGGGAGGCTGGCGTGCTGCAAAACGCAGTGCTGCCTGCAGCACCACCGGCGCCTGGGTTCCTCCCAGACAGCGGCCTGGCGCTTTGGCGCCCCTCTTGGCCAGGCCACTCCGCCTCCCGCCTCACCGGCGGCCTGCTGGGAAGGCAGTGCTCCATGACCGCCCCGCTCCAGCAGCCACTGCGAAAGCACCCGTGGTGCTCTCTCTCTTTCCCAAACGTAGCCACAGACGAAAATCAGAGTCGGGATGCCTGGCCCAGTGCTCAGGAAAAGCAGCAGAGCCGCAACCCAGGGCAGAGCCGTCCGCAGGAGGGAACTCAAGGACAGGGCAGTCTTGCCGGACAAATCCATGCCTGCCGAGGCACCCGGTGGAGCAGGGGAAGCGGAGTGGTGCAGGCTGTCCCCTGGGGATGGACGGGCCATCTTTCCTGAAGGCTGCCCTTAGTAACCTTCCTGCATTCTCGCACATGAACGATGGCGGTGATGCCCAAAGCTAATTCGCGCAGGCGCCCCCCCCCACCCCGCCCTTCCTTCCATCCTGCCCCAGGCATGCTTACTCAGAGAGGAGTGCCACGGAGCCCGGAGGGACTTCCTCCCCAGTAAATATCCAACGCTCCCACGAACAAGGGCATCTGCAGCAGGGGGACTCTGCGGTGGAGGACGTCTTGCTCTCTGAGTATGCGCAGCACGGAGGGAGACTCCACGGCTGGCTCACAGAAAGGGAGGGCTGGCTCACCGCAGCCAAGCCGCTTGACCTCGGCTAGGGAGGCCACGCCGGGGCTTGCAAAGCTCACGGGAGCCGGGGGAGCCTTGTCCCGAGCACATGGCAAAGCACCAGGCGGGGAGCGGCTCGTGCCCTCCCACGGCAGCGTGAGGCAGGTGGCAGATGCGGCCAACCTGCTGATGAATCGGAGCAGGGAGGGCAGGCAGGACCCAGGCCCGGTGTTTCAGCCACAGTGAGATAAACCAGAGAGGGACGACTGCCCGGACCGGAGGAAAATATCGCTGCCTCCGTGCTTAAGCATCAGAGCAGGATGTGACCTGGGGCTGCCCAGATTGTTCTGTCTCCCTCCTCCTCACAAATAGGAGGGATAAAAGAAGCAAGAACCCACATAGTCTGTGCCTGAGCAACCAGCACGACCCTCCATCCTCGCACTGCACCCAGCCCCTGCGCATCCTGAGCCAGGTGAGACTGCCCACAGGTGGGAGGAAAGGAGGCAGGTGTGGCAGGTGGGGGGGAGAGAAGGGGCAGTGGCCATGGGGCTGTGGAACAGCAGCAGCGGGTGAGCTCGCACTGGCATTGAACCTTGCCTAATTTGCATGCAAATTTGGAAAAACCACATTACAAGATCTCTTGGCCATAACATCAGCGCAACCCAAGAACAGACGGCCTAAAATTCGCTGCGGATTTGAGAGATTCTTTAGCATATCTTAAGAGAGCCAGTGTGACCTGTTGGTCAGAGTGCTGGACTGAGGCTCAGGAGACCCGCGAGGCCCCACTTGGCCATGAAACTAACTGAACACCTTTGGGCCAGTCACCTGACTCTCAGCTGAACCTACCATGCAGGGGTGTTGTGAAGAAAAAATGGAGAGGAAGTGATGGAGCACTGTTAAGCTCCCCAGGGTTCCTTGCAGGAGAAAAGGTTAGACAGAAGTAAATAAGAAAAATAAAAGGCTGTTGATGCCTTTTAGGGCTGGAATCCTCCGCGTCCTGGGTTACAGACCAGCGCACTGCTTCACGCTCTTATGCTCTTTATTGGCGACTAAGATGGTGCCCCCCTCTGAAGCCAGGAATTTTCCTCACTTGGGCTCAGAGCAAAAACTGGCTGAACCCGGACCCACTGTTAAGCGACTTTCCATGGCCTCATGCTCTCTAGACGTGCAGGACTACATTCCCCATTCTTTCCAGGCAGACAGGGAATGATGGAAGTTGCAGTACAGCACATCTGGGCTGCGGAAGACCGATTTCTGGCTACAGGGTCAAGGCAGGAGATGTGGCGCCAGACAACACCTGCCAGGCCTTGCGGCTTATTGCATTTCTCCAGCCTGCCCAAATGAACTGATCTGAATCTTTCTTAATTAAACACTCGATGCGACATAATTAGCCGTGCAGGCAGTTACTGGCAAGAGGCCCCCAGGAGAGTTCTGGGGAGATGCAGCTTGTCATGCGGTAGTGCAGGGAGGAGGAGGAGGAGGAGAAGCCCAGCTCTGCCGCTCGCCTGAGGGTCCCTCCTGGAACATCTGCACGCTGCTCTTTGCAGTAAGATAAAAAAGAGTGTGCAAAAGGGTTAAATCAAAAATCGGCGGCTCACGTTCCCCAGCCAGCCTCCTGAAGGGGTTCACAAGCACCTTGTAAGGGCCGTGAGGCCGCTTTACCCAGCCTGGCGCTGGCCAGGCCTTTTGAACTTCAATGCCCAGCATTCCTACCACCCGTGCAGGCTGGGCTGATGGCCATAAACCGTCAGGGAGCTGGAGCGGGCTGGCATAAGGCACCCATAAAACAAGCCCTCTAATCTCTCTCTCAGTCATCCTCATTTTTAGCTGTCTGCTTATTCCTGCAAAGTCCAAGTTCAGCGGCCGCCACGGCGCCATTCATGCCTTGCCTCTCTTCCTCTGTCCAGTGTTTTTAAAATGTGCAGCACAACGAGCAAAAGCGGCAGAGAGGGGCGCTCCCTCACTCCTCCAGGGCCTTAACCTCTCCTGCGCTGCTCCGAGCAGCGAGGCCCCCCGGCGGAGCCTCCTCCGTGCACAACGGGGAGAGCGATTTGCAGGAGCTCCCCCTCGGGACGAGCCCAGCCAGCTGGCACCTGGGCCAGCGCCTTCCCGAGAGGCACGCCTTCTCCCCTCCTGCCAGCTGCAGCCCGGCCCCGGGCGAGGACCAGCTGCGGCCTCCTGGCAGTCCTCAACCACGGCCCTCGCCCACTCCAGGCATCTAACGGAGAGGCGACCGAGGCGCCGAGACGACCGCGCAAAATCTCAAGCGCCGGGCGCACCTGGCAAAGCTGGGGACATGTGCCGCTGGCCCCCACCTGAGCGGGGGAGCAGACGCCAGGGAACGCACCCGGCCACAGGGCCTGGCAGACTCGTGTCTCGCAGGCAGGCGAGGCGTGAGCCTGGAGAACCAGCCTCATCGAAAGAACCATGAGGCGTGCTCTGCTGCTCTCGGCGCTGTTCTGTGCCCGCGGCCCTATGGATGAACGCCCTCCAAGATGTCGTGTCCTAGAGCCAGAAAATGCAACCCTGCCGGTCGTCCTGTGGATTCAGAGGATCTGGGGGGGCCTTTCTGAGCACGGTCACTTGACGACAAGCAGGGACGGCGCCTTCAGGGGCCAGCACCCCAAGGCCAGAAACGTCCCAGGAGCTGGAGGCCACCAGTGGGAAAGGGCCACCGTCCTCCCACGGAGCCCTCCCCACCCAGGGCTTGGGTGGCTGTCCAGAGGGTCCCAAGGCCACGTCCACATCCCCAGGCCGCCACAGCAACCTCACCCTTGCGTGTCCTTTGTGCTGAGGACACACCCGCAGCGCAGATGCCGCCAAGGAGGACGCCAGCTCGGAGCAGGCATGGCAAATGTTACCGGGGGGCATCCGGGGGGCATCCGGAGGGCACGTCACAGCAAAACGCAAAGCCATCTGCAGTGTCAGGAGAACAAACCCAGTCCCAAACGGGAAAGCTCCGCGAGGGACCCTTGCACAGGTGCCTCAGTGGCACAGAAAGTGCCGCCTGCTTTCCAGGAGGGGCTCCAAAGCGCCTTCTCTCTATAGCCAGGTTAGAGTCAGTGCAGCATAGGGCCACAAGGTTGGTATGAGGTACCATACCATATGGGGTATGAGGCGAGACTGAGGGAACTGGGTCTCTTCAGCCTGGAGGAGACTCAGAGGGGATCTGCTGGCGACATACAGGCATGTGAGGGGGTGTCACACGGAGGCGGGTAGAGGCCTGTTCTCCCCTGCAGAGGAGGGCAGGATGCGCTCCAATGGACCAAAGCTCAGGGAACCAAGGCTCAATTTAGATGCCAGGAAGCACTTCCTGACAGTTAGGACCCCCAGGGTGTAGAATAGGCTTCCCCGGGAGGTGGTTGAGGCCCCATCGGTGAGGGTGTTCAGGGACAGGCTGGACGCCCACATGGTGGGCATGTCGTGAGCGGAGCCGGCTGGAGCCGGAGGTCAGACTAGATGGCCCGGGAAACCCCTTCTGACTCACTCTGTTTCTATTTTTCTGTGTTTCTCTGCTCTCGCCCCAAATGCCCCTCCAGGCAGCTGTCATTGCTGCTTCTTTATTAGCCGCAGTTCCGTTGCCCCGAGGAACTGAAGCGCCTCTTCCCTGACCCGGCACAGGGCAGATGGGCCGAGCGGCAGCTCCCATCCTCCCCAGGCAGCAGGGCTGCGCATCCGGAGAGTGCCAGGCTCTTCGCTTCAGGTTGCCCCACTCCTCAGTTACGGTCGCCCAAAGTGGGTCCGCTGGATAAACAGAGAGGGAGGTCCAGCCAGGAGGCTTCCATCGCAACCCACCAACCAAGAGCACTGGAGGGGAGAGGAGCTGGGGCTGCTGGGCGAGGCAGGGACAAGGCGGTGGGCGAGCGTTGCGTGGGCGCTGCACAGCCGCTCAGGCTGGTGTTGCGGCTCGCACGCGGCTCCTGGGCAATGCGTGGGGCCCAGCCGTTCTCCCCTGCTTCCCTCTGCGGCCCCAGGGCAACTGCCCATTCGGGGAGGAATAACTGCCCTGACTGGGGGGAGGGGGCTGACTTGGAGGAAACAGCAAGGGCTCCTGTCGATGCGATTTCAGCACTCAGAGACTGAAGGGGGCAAGGCAATCAGAAGGGCACCAGACAGGGAAGGGGGGCCAGGGGAACACTGGACGACCTCTGAGGAGTGTTGTGAAGACCCTGCCCTTACCTGAAGGGAGGGATACTATGAGAAAATACTAGAAAGACGTCATTTGCGTTCTCTCACGCAACCCTGCGACACGTGGAGGTGGGGCAGGGGGTCAGAACTGGTAACAGGGGACCAGAATATGAAATTGCTGCGCATCGGAACGTTTTGAGCAGCCGGCATCATTTTTTTTTTTTTTTTATACTTCCGTAACAGATGCCTGGATTTTTCCAGTATGGTTTGGGTTTGGATTGTAGCATTTCTAACTGGCAGAACTGTGAGGAACAGAATCCGCAGCCTCATGGAAGTTACAGAGGATTATTTTAAAGAAGAGATGAGAAAGAAATGGGCCAAAAGTCAGGATGTTTTCATTCACAGACATAATTAGAGGACCCAAACGTGTGTGCTTTTCCCAGCTCAATGCTTCTACAATTCTGCCTGATGTTATGCAGAGCATACGACATCCGACTGCCTCTTGGGGTCTCTCTTTTACAGGCAGAACTGCTAGTTAGCCTTAATCAGCAGAAACAGGGAATGAAATATCAGTCATTCATTATTCACCACCCTCGGGATCGTGTAACATGCCAGCTTGCGGCTCGCTTGCCTCGTACACAGTGACAGGAAAAGCCAGTTTCCCTGGCAGAAACAAGCTGGCCGGTCCTTTCTGAGCAGGAAGGGGTGAGCCAACCCAGCTCCAGGCTGCAATACAGAAAGTTTTATCATCCAGACCATAGCACAGAGCCAGGCACCGCTTAAGGCACAGAGAAAATAAGGACGACCAGAAACGTACTGATGCTTTCCTTTCTCTTCCCCTTCGCTGTCGCTTCTGAACTGCTTGACTTCTGGTGCACCATCATCTTTATTCTGAGGGAGAGAGAGAAAAGAAAAAACGCCGGGGTAAATGAAGTGCCCAGCGTGCCTGAAGCTTTGTTAGCTTGGCACAGCGAGGTGAGAAACGGGCCAGAGCAAGAGCAGCATGTCAATGATGTCACAAGCCACAACTCTGCAACCAGGACCATATTTGGCCTTTATCTTGTTTCGCTCCTGACTGCTCCCCTGGCAATTTCACACTGTGACCTGCCTACACAAGAGAAACGAAAAGGCAACAACAGCCAGGGAGGGAAATGAATTAGGTCTGTGGCGGCAGCCACGTCGCGCAGAGCGGTTATGCTTTCATTACCGCTGCTGCCGAAGTTGCTTCAAAGCTTGCAACAAGCTGGGAAGAATACTAAACAGCGGTGTTTCAGATAGAGCTTTTTATTGGAAGCTTTCTTCCAGCAGTGACCCCTCAGGCCTCAGCCGGGGCCTCAGTTGCATTGCTGGGCAGTGGAGGACAATCAGGAGAGGGAGGAATGTGGAAACGGTTTCTGGAGCATGACAAAGTTAAACAAGATTTCTGGGCTCTAGAGTCACTGCAGCAGGTATGCAAGGTGAAGACGCAGGCCGGGGTAGGTGGGGAGCTGTGCAGCAGCCTCGGGAGACAGAAGAATCAGAAGTTATGCTTGGAAGCCTCCGGCAGCCACGTGCAAGGCTGTGGAGCCAATGGGCAAGACGAGGTTGCTCAAGACCGCTAAAGCACAAGGACTGGCTGCACCAGGTACCAGCAGAGGCTGTGGAAGGAGCAAACTTCCTTGCCTTGTTGCTTTAGAGCTGTTGCCAGTCCCGGCTGGCATCCAGACCAGCGCTGGAACAAACCAGGGGACCCACACAACCTTCCCCAGTATGCCAGGGCTGCTCCAAGAACTTCTCTGGGCAATCTTCCATCAAGCAGGTCAGGATGCCCTTGGCCAGACCTGCTTCCCAAGCCCTGCCTTCAGCTCCTGTCCTTTACTTCAGCCTGGCACCACCAGAAACCAATCTCCAAAGCTACCATGGCCCTTTTCTAGCCGTCTTCCAGCCTTGGAAATGCACATTATGATTATATTATAATCTTTATGTACATCCCACCTATTTCCAGTAGTTCCCAGCGATCCTGCAAATGTGCCACAGGTTCGGCGTCTGATGAGGGGCTGTTTTTTTCCAGCTTCCACATCAATGCTCAAAACATATCTGCGAATCCAGAGTCAAGAGCTGCACGTTTCTAGCTCAGATTGTGCAAAGTGGAGCTGACTTGTTTCATTCACGTAGTTCTTGTAGCATTTTACAGTAGTCATACGGAAGCAGCCGGGTCTTACTCCATGCATACACATTCTGCTTTAGCCCCCTTGAATTTTCTGACACTTAGTCTCAGGCATGTGTGTAATTCAGGCCTCCATTCTGCTATTTGGACAAGTTTGCATAAGGTGTGCAAATCTGGGCATACAGCAGAGCAGAGAGCCAAACTGTGATCTAACTTTCCCTTGCTTTTTACACGAAAATGGAAGCCCATTTTAAAAGCAGGAATCCACATGCTGGTTTAACTCCTGTGAGAGTGAGCTGGCACCAACAGAGAACTGGCAGGACAGACTCTCTGGACCAAGCTGAGAAAAGCCACGGGACAGTTACGTTCTGGAAGGTTCCTCACATATCCGTAGTGAGACATGCATTTTTTGGGAAATGAGAATTTCTGAGCATTTTCTGTGGCTCCCCTTATTTTATGTGACATCAGTGCCCATGTGAGAAAGAACATGTCAATAAAACGGAGAAGGGAAGTGGTTCTATTTTTGGTATGAGTGGGCGGAATCAACCCATGGATGTGTTGTGTTTTTTTCCTCAAGACAGTCTGGAGTACAAGAGGAAACTGGTGCTGAGAGGAGGGCTGAGTTGCCGTCCCTCATATCCAGGAAGCTGACTCCAGCACTGCGCTCCTGCCAAGCTCCTGGGAAGCCAAAGGGCCGGTTCACAAGCAGCAGTAGCTCATCAAAGGCAATGAAGGGAACTGTTTGGACACAATATACTCCTGGACAAGAACAGTAAATGGCCCTCAAGCTTGTTCAGGCCATACAGTGAGTCAGAGTTGTGCACAAGACACGCAATCTGACATACCAGCCTTCTGAGCCATGCTTGAAACTGCGGCCATGAATTGACTCAGCAAACCCAGCCCCAACTTTAGAGATTTTTCTGCCCAGCTTCTGGTGTTTTCCATTCCCACCGCCCCCTACAGCCTTCGCTTCTTGCTTGCTCAAACAACACTATCGCTTCTGTCAGCCATCTGGGATCTTTTATCCAGCTACTGAATTTGTAAAGCAAGTGAACTCAGGAGCCAACCTGCTGCATCTGTGGGCAGAGAGATGGCAGCAAAACTATCATGTGCCGCAAAGAGGTGGCCGGTGGTGACACAAGGGGCAACCATATGCACGGGGGTGGCACCCGACGGGCACCTGGTTCCTTCCACGGGATCAGCTCCTTTGTTCAGAACGTGAACCAAACACAGCACCTGACAAATTCAGGGTTCAGCAGATGCTGAACAGCGAGATCTGTTTCCTAAAATCCCCATTATCCCTTTAGGGGACTACACAGAGGATGGTCATTCCTCTTGCCCGTACGCTGGCACAGAATTCGTGCCAATGCATTCATTTCTCGGGGAGGGGGGAGGCAACATTTGTCCAGTCCTGTCTGCATGGGGCAAACTCAGAACCTCAGATTTAGGGACTGCGGTCTCATTGGTTAAGCCAGCCTTCCCACCCGTCCTTCTCCCCTCCTCCAATGTTCTGTTGTTGTTGTTGCTAGTTGCGAGGTCGTGTCTGACCCATCGCGACCCCACAGACAACATTCCTCCAGGCCCCCCTGTCCTCCACCATCCCCCAGAGTCCACTTAAGCTCACGCCGACTGCTTCAGTGACCCCATCCAGCCCCCTCAGCCCCTGCCGTCCCCTCCTTCTTTTGCCATCATTCGCAGCATTAGGCTCCTCCAATGCTAAGCTACTGCAATAGGCGTTGGCACCGGCTGTCTCACTCGGGCACATGAACGTTTGAAATACTGCTTTCACTGTGGGCTTAACACCCCCCTCCAAATTAGCCACAAAGGGGACAAAAGCCAAAGCTAAGCAAAGGGATGTTGCTGCGAGCAGCCAGCCAGGGACTCACTCACCAGGTCGTGAGCGTTACTACGCCCTCTTCCCACAGGGGATCCAAGAGGAGGTAAAGCCGCATCTAAACATAAATGATGGCTCACACCACCCCACACCGATTCCCAAACCTCTCCAGTGCACAAAGGACTCTGCTAGTCCAAGCAGAAGATCGGCTCAGACAGGCACCTAGGAATTTGACGACTGTGATTACGAGCTTGAAACTGTTCCTTCCCAACCTCTGCAGCGAAGCTGCTTGCAAACGGGATGGCCATGCCCAAAAATTCACCTGGGACCGGAATTAAGCTTCCACGGCTCCACTGTAAGGCCAAGCATGCTTTAAGGATCTTTCAGTAAGCCCCTCCTGCATGGATTAAATGTGCTTATCTCCTCGGCTGGCCTCCGGGAGCCAGTTTGCTCGAGAGCATGCTTGAAAGTTACCATAGCCTTCCGCACATTCCTTACTGAAGTCGTAATCTGTCTTGAGTCGCAGCAGGTTGCTATGGAAATGATGGAAATCACAGCCTGACAACTGCAACTTTGCACAGGAAAATCAAACAGGCTGGGGGGCGGGGAGGGGCCCCTGACAGACTCCTCAACCCAAATATATTTTAGCCCTTCCACAAACCCAAAATCAATGAAGTGCTGCTCCTTCCTGCTGTGTGAATGTGGGCACTTGTGTCAAGGACAATGATGGAAGTACTCCAGCTGAAGAAAGACAGAGAGCAGAATAAATGCCACACATCTCAAATGTCTGGAGTTTAAAGAAAGGCAAAGACAAAGCGAGCAAAGCACCTCTACTGAATCCCAGTGTTTGTGAAGCATGGTGCAGCCTCGGAGGAAGAGGGAGGTAAGACTTGGAAGTCCTACAGGCTGCGGCTGGCTCTGCCATTCCCGCTCTTTCCTTAGCTGTGCGCGAGAAACGCTGGGCTGTCAGAAGGAAACGAGGCACGGGAAGCTTCCCCGAGAGGCAGCGGCCTCGCCACATGGCCCCAGGAGAGCACTGGGGTCCCGATTCACACGGGGCAATCGGGAAGCTTGGCAGGCCCGGCCAAAGCACGGAGAACAGGACGTGCACCCAGGGACACCCCGAGAGACAAGGCCACGTGGAAAGAGCCCCTGAAGGCAGGGTTGCTCCACACCCTGAGATGAACGTCCCAAGTCACCCCACTGGACTCTCCTGCCCAGTAGCACAGCCTTCGCCAACATGGCTGGTGCCGTCCAGATGCTTTGGACTGCAACCCCCATTAGCTCCAGCCAGCACAGCCAGGTCGTGGATCACGGAAGTTGTAGCCCGTAACATCCGCAGGGAAGCAGGTTGGGGACAGCTGCTCTGCTGCACCGGTTTTTGGTTCCCTGGGGATTTTTCCAGCTGTGCTACACAGGAATTTTTTCTCTGGAGATGCTGGTGCTTGAATCGTGGTTTCTGTGCATGCCAAGTGCATAGCGATAGCTAGTCTTCTTTGCTTGGTGAGCCAGACAAAGCTCAAATACCAGAGCCAGAGCAGAAGTAGAGCTAATCTAATGCTTTATATCCTACTTGCTCCTTGAAACCTGCCAGCTCTCTAGATTGCACTGCCACTGGGGCTCTTGCTTTGCTTGCTTGCATCTTTGCAAAGGCTCCCTGAACCAGATGCGTGGGCAGCACAGAGGTGGGCCACTGGCCCACCCACCCTCGTGCAGAACCCCCAGCCCAAGGGCCAAATTCCATTTCAGGGAAACTTGGGGGCTGCATTCCAGTGGCGGGCGGACCTAAAGACCAAAGGGGCTGGGCCCCGAACATCGGTATAATTTAGCTCAAAGTTTTTATTGTAAGCACACAAGCTTTAGGAGAGCCACTGCTTTCGGAATGGGGGTGGGGGGAGACTGCACCGAAGC